CCCCCCCCTCCCGCCCTTCTTCCTGATAGTCACCTGGGGATGTCCCCCCAGGGTTCCGCCTCAATGAACACCTGAAGCAGGTGGGAACTGTGTGATCGGGGGATCCCACCAGAACCGAGTCTGGGCCATGATGGAGGTGCTGGGCTCCCTCACCACCTCCACTAGGTGATGACCACGTGCCACACTCCCCAGTCAAGGAGAAAGGCCGGGGCTCTTGCTAGTGGTTCAGGTGCTCACGGTCTAACATATACGGAAGTAGGCTCGAGGCCGGATCTTGCTTGGAGGGGACTTACCTGCTTCCCGAGGTGTAGAGCTTAGAGCAGGGGACTTCATCAGATGCCTGGCAAGGAGATGAGGTCTGTCTCGTCTGATCTGAGTACTTCTGTTTCCCAATATGTCCCCCAAAACAGAAGCAAGACTCAAAAGTGCACACGGGCACACACACATACCTGCCTCTGCGGAGGGGGCAGCACCGAGCCACTCGCCGCCTTTTAAATGCTCTGTGTTCTTTAAAGTGATTCATGTTCCGCAAAAATCCAGCAGCACTCTACTCATTGTTCTGGTCCCCAAATCTCCCCAGTAAAAAGAAACAGGATCCTACAGTTGTGGAGACCATCAGTGACAGTTGCCTGGAAAATGACACAAATGAAAAGAGAATTAGGTATTGTAGGAGAGTGCCCATGTCAATATCTTGCAAAAATTCACCACAGGAGTTGGGGGGGGGGGCAGAACTGGGCAAATCTCACAAGGGATCTCCTCTGTCATTCCTTACATCTGCATACAAATCTACAATTCTCAGGAACAATTTCAGTTTTAAAATGTTACCTAAGAACGGGAACACAATCGCTGACAGCAGGTAGTTCAACAGCGAGTGGTAGGTGTGAGGCCAATCCAGTTATCACTTACTTATAAACTGTGATTTAACCAGACAGAGGGGCCAGAGGTGGTGAGCAGAAGAATACGGTATTAAATCCTCTACCCAATAGGAGAGGGAGGACTGTGGAAAGACAATAAAATTCAGTAATTAAAACATGGGCACTTTAATTGGAAACGTGGAGATTTTTGAAAGCAGACAGAATTGCTGCAATGAATACAAGTGTCTCTGGGGAGCAGGGCAGGTGAGGAGGGGTGTAGAGAGGACTGTGGTCTGTTGATAGGAACCTGTGTGAGCCTGATTTGGTTGCTGTTGCTGGCAGGGTGGCAAACAAATGGACCCCTCTGGCACTGAGCGCCCCCCGCATCAGGGCCTCCGTGCATCCCTTCAACCTTAGGTCAAACCCAGGGCTGCACAAGCCCCCCATTTGGCCAGATTGTAAGAGCGTGAAGCCCCTCCGACTGATTGCCTGTGTCTAACTGATAGCCACTGTCCACGTTAGGAACAGACAACGTCATTTCTGAGTGAGGTGTAGGGAAGAGCTGTGCTTTACACACACACTAAAACTTTTGTTCTTTCTGATTCTAATAGATAAGGAGTGTGTCCTTTCATGAGAACTATCAGAAATAGGGTTGTCATGGACTCTGGGTCTGGAGTTCTTGTCCAGCAAGAAAGCAGACCCAGGATTCAAAGCGGGAGACGACTAATGTCCGGGAGAAGACAAGAGCCCCGAGTAAGGGTCTTTGCTCCGTTTTTATTAGGATCCGAAGGCTTACCAACATGGTGATGGACGTGCACAAAGGGACAATGAAACTGCGAACATTAACTCGTGGACGTGAGGGAAAGGGGGTCTTGAAGATATTCGGGGTTAGGGGTTTGGGTTAACACAAAACAAAATCCTGGCTCCTAGCGAAAGGTTGTTTACGGCAGACTTGACTTGTTTACCTAAACTCGCCTAGGGGACCAGAAAGACTGAGCAGGCTGCCTCTGGGTCAACAAGGCACCTTTCTTTTGCTAATTAGCTCTGCTCTGGGCAACTTCACCCGCAGCGACTATATCCCTATTTACCTAATTTGGTCCTTCCTTCCTGTGAAAGCAGCTTTCTGCTATTAAACTAAGTTGGGGGGCTTTTCCGCCCTGGATACCTAATGTTGTTCACCTCACCTTGGATGTTTTCATCCCGAGAGTCCCTCTTCCTGTGCCTTTGTCCTATACTGGGACCTTTGTCGCACTTTGCCTAATCTCCTTTACCCAAACTTGGGTGCGAACATCCTGTGGCTTTCTAGTTTTTCACGCCTTGTTAACCCATCCTGCAGGCTCAGGGAATTCTGAAGTTTATTCCCCACATAGGATTTAAGGGTTTTTTTAATGTTTATTTTTTAGACAGAGAAAGACAGAGCATGGACGGGGGAGGGTCAGAGAGAGGGAGACACAGAATCCGAAGCAGGCTCCGGGCTCTGAGCTGTCAGCACAGAGCCCGACACAGGGCTCGAACTCACAAACCGTGAGATCATGACCTGAGCCGAAGTCGGACGCTTGACCGACTGAGGCACCCAGGCGCCCCTCCCCACGTAGGGTTTTAAAAAGACAAAAATCTTGCATAACTGCATCCCCCAGAGGTAACTATCATTAATGTGCCCCAGTGTTTCCTTTTTTTGTACCCCCTTGTCATTACGGTAAACAGACTGGACTGTGGCTGTGTTCTCTGCACCTCGGGAGCTCAGGCTGGTTTAGGTTGTGCCACTGAGGGAAACTGAATGGTGATGCCCTGCATGCAGGCTGTTGTGGGGCCCAGTGAAATTCCTTGGCCCCCCCGTCACTGGTCATCTGTCTGGGCTGTATCTGTGACACAGGGGTGATGGAATTGCAGACCTTGGTGATCTGTGGGCATTCCTGTCCTCAGGCATTTGACCAAGCAGTGACCAAGGACACTTGCATGGCTGTGGGCTTCTTCCAGCGAGGAGTGGCCAGCTTCCAGCTGGAGAGGTGAGCACAGAGGTGTCTCGTTTCTTCTCTGAGGGCCCTTTGTCTCTGCAAAGTTCATTTTTGTGCTCCCCGCCTCCTCTCTCCCCATGGGGCACCTTCTCTTGCCCACCCCCTCCTCCATAGCTTCAGGGAAGCCTGGAGGAGGACACTGGTCACGCCGGAGGGGGACACAGGGAACAGCCACGCGGTGAGCCCTGTCTCTGTGCTGAGGTTCACAGGGCGCTTTCACGGGCACCTCTTCCTTTGTTCCTCACCACATCATTGCTGCAGCAGGGATGGCGTGATTACACCCATTCTGCAGATGAGGGAACTTAGAACAGGGCTGCAGGAATGGTGTGTCCCAGGGCAGGGAGGGGGTTGGGGTCCTCAATGCTCACCTGGGCTCTTTGCACTGTGGTCCTTCCCAGAGGAGGAAACATTCTGCAGGACAGGCCCGGCTTCCCCCTACCCCACCTAGCCCCAGGACAAGCCCCACGGCAGGCAGGCCCCATGCCAGGCAGGCAGGCTCTGGGGACAACCTCCTCCTCTCATGGGTCCAGGAGCCTCCTTGGAGGAGATGGGGATTCTAGTGGAGGCCAAGGAGTGTCCAGCCGGTCTCTGCGGCAGGAGGCCCACAGGGTTGGGGGTCCTATGAAGCAGGAGGGAAATGTGGAAGAGGGTCTGGGGTACAGACAGGGGCTCTAGGCGGCAGAGTGAGTGAGGTCCCCAGGAACCAGGACTGGATCAGAGCTGGCATCACCTCACACCCCGGACGTGGTGCCCCCATGCCCCTCACAGCCAGTCTGTCCATGACCCGTGTGTTGGGACTTGAGGGCCCACCATGTGCTGAGACCTGGGTGACCACCACTGCCCCCTAGCAGGTGTCCCTGGAGCTGGGGTGGTGGGGAGGCTGGGGCAGGGCTTGGCCCCTTTCCCTGCAGCCACTGAGGTCCCCCTCGCCGCTGGCTCCCCCACTGCCCACAGGTTCCAGGAGGCCCTGTGTGACTTCCGTCTGGCCCTGGCACAGCTGAGGGATAACACCGCCATTGACTATACACAGCTGGGCCTGCGGTTCAAGCTGCATGCGTGGGAGGTGAGCTTGCACTGGGAAGTGTGGCCCGCTGGGGCTCTGGGGGTGCTGTCTGCGGGTGGCCCGGGTGGTCCTTCAGGCCCCGTCCTCTGGGTTCCATCCTCTTCTCACTGTCACAGGTGGGGCCGTGTTGACCGAGGCTCCCTCTGGCCACTCTTTCATCCTGAGGAAGCGGGAGGGTAGAAGAAGTTAGAGGCCACCAGGAGTGCTTTGCCCAGGAGAAGGGCAGGGGAGGGGCAGAGAGCAGACAGGTGAAAGGCAGGTGGGGTCAGGAAGCAGCACAGCTTGGCTCTCTGTGGCTGACACCAAGGAAGGGGAGTGGAGAGGACACCACAGTGCTCCCGGAAACTGGCTGCCTTGCAGCCTTCCCCCAACAAGCGGTGTTGCAAGAAACAAGTCGTGGGAAAGCCCCTCCAGGTGGGGTCCCCTGGCCCAGGGCACTGAGCAGTGCAGGGCGGTGGGGAGCGCGGGGAGGAATGGCCTGGCAGTGACCCCCACCTGGCCT